TTTAAGCGATCCAATTTTAAGTTAAATGAAAGAACTTATTTGTCCGGGGTATACGTGAACCTATAAAGGTAGGTACATCCCTGGTGTAGACGCAATCCAGGGGCGCTGGAAATTAACTGGAGAAGTAAATTCACCTGCGGAATGCAGTAATGTAATCGCGCCAGCCGCCATTGTAATTTGCAGAAACTTAATTACATCACAGTCCTACCTGCTACCTATATCTACCTACCTACATACCTACCAACGATTAAAAGAGTCCGCATTTCATAAATACGTGTGTTAGATATCCGCAGCTGTTTATATTCATGTTCTTATTATACCCACGGAAACACCGAACGCGAAAATTGTTCTGCACGTATGTAAACGGAATTGCCTTATTGCAAACAGAAATGAAATTTAAATTGCACGTCTACCCTGTTGTATGTGTAACACATAATTTGCGAATATAGCACTTACAGAATGTGTAAATGGGTAAGAAGAAAACATATTTTGTAATGAGACAATAATATTGTCCATTTTTGGTTGAAAGAGTACAACATCAATCCGTTATTCTGTTTCATTTTCATTATAATTTGAAGAACAATGTCTAAGAATGAAGATCAGTAAGACTGGTAAGCAAATATCTAAATCATGATCATCTTAAGGTCGTCAGTTCTGAGTCAGTTTTCGCATTTCCTTAAAAAAGAAGAGCTCACATTCTTAACAATTTGTGAACAATAATTTAATCTAGATCTAGCTTTGCTTCTCAGTTTACTGATGTTCCTACTTCTAATATTTCTCTAATTAGTCCTTAATGTGTCCTACCATCCTATTTCTCATCCGTCTTTAGCGCCACGTCTCCAATTTTTCTGTTTTTGGCTCAACTACAGGACTCATAGTCAAATAAACAAGTAGTCCTTCTAATGATAAAATGTTAGTGAAGAGGGATATACGTAAGTTACTAACGTAGTGCAGAAATGTTTCTATCAATACTACTACGTCAGCACAGAATTATAACTAACAATAGGTACAGTCTAGTAACGTCTAGAAGCCAAGTCTTATCAAGGGTATCTATTCGGTGGTGGTTAATATGTTAATATTTGCTTAGGATTTGTAGAAAACAAAGAATTGGTCAAACAATCACTTTTAGTACTTGCTTGCGGAAATCAACAGGTGAATCAGAGCTTTCATTCGTAGCAGTTCCGGATTCCGACAAGAAAATCTTTAATAAACCAAAGGTTGATATTTACAGCGTTACTTGTAAGTCAGTTAGTGCAACTTAGACTGATTAAAAGTGACCATAACTAGTAAACTTTCCTAATTATATGAGTTCGTCCTTAAAACTGATATTTCAACAGAATTTATTTATTTCTAAAGTATATTGCATCCAGATCTAGTTGTAATAAGATCTTTACGGTAATATAACCAGTGATAATGGGTAAAACGCAAATTATTTCTTTATTTGTAACTAATTAATTAACGGTGAGCCTTTTCCTTTATTGGTAAATAATCAACTACATCCTACTTACTGCAGCCTTTATTTTTTTTTTTTATTTTCTATTCTCATAAACCGAAATTAATAATAGAATTGAAAGTATTAGTTAATTTGAATTTTCGAAATGTCTCTAATAAGAGTGGAGACCTCTGATGATCATCAGATTAAATTAAATGTATAACTTTTCCATTTTCTCGAAGGAGTCGTCTTCCTGAAAGTTCTGACTACTTTGAGCAGATGGCGCAACCAATACTGGAAAATGTACGTAAGATATAATAAACAAACGTGAAACAGAAATATGCCAACAAATAGTAATTCCCTTTGAATCTAAGGACTTATTATCCTGAGACTTTAAAATAATTTAATTATATCGTGCAGCAAATACTGAAAATTGTTTGTGAGGTTCAATTCGCAATTAAATAAATGTGAAACAGGAATATGCAAACATTAAATAAATAAACTTTCCTTTATCTCAACGGACTCATTTTCCACAACGTTTTGCTAGTTTTAACCAGATGGAGTATGAATATTGGAAAACGTTAAACAAAATTCCCTTTGATTCTAAGGACTCATTATCCTGAGAGTTCTAAATAATTTAATTATATCGTGCAGCAAATACTGGAAATTATTTATAAGGTTCAATTCGCAATTAAATAAATGTGAAACAGGAATATGCAAACATTACATAAATAAACTTTCCTTTATCTCAACGGACTCATTTTCCACAACGTTTTGATAGGTTTAACCAGATGGAGTATGAATAATGAAAACCGTTAAACAAAATTCCCTTTGATTCTTAGGACTCATTATCCTGAGAGTTCTAAATAATTTAATTATATCGTGCAGCAAATACTGGTAATTATTTATAAGGTTCAATTCGCAATTAAATAAATGTGAAACAGGAATATGCAAACATTACATAAATAAACTTTCCTTTAGCTCAACGGACTCATTTTCCACAACGTTTTGCTAGTTTTAACCAGATGGAGTATGAATATTGGAAAACGTTAAACAAAATTCCCTTTGATTCTAAGGACTCATTATCCTGAGAGTTCTAAATAATTTAATTATATCGTGCAGCAAATACTGGAAATTATTTATAAGGTTCAATTCGCAATTAAATAAATGTGAAACAGGAATATGCAAACATTACATAAATAAACTTTCCTTTATCTCAACGGACTCATTTTCCACAACGTTTTGATAGGTTTAACCAGATGGAGTATGAATAATGAAAACCGTTAAACAAAATTCCCTTTGATTCTTAGGACTCATTATCCTGAGAGTTCTAAATAATTTAATTATATCGTGCAGCAAATACTGGTAATTATTTATAAGGTTCAATTCGCAATTAAATAAATGTGAAACAGGAATATGCAAACATTACATAAATAAACTTTCCTTTAGCTCAACGGACTCATTTTCCACAACGTTTTGCTAGTTTTAACCAGATGGAGTATGAATATTGGAAAACGTTAAACAAAATTCCCTTTGATTCTAAGGACTCATTATCCTGAGAGTTCTAAATAATTTAATTATATCGTGCAGCAAATACTGGAAATTATTTATAAGGTTCAATTCGCAATTAAATAAATGTGAAACAGGAATATGCAAACATTACATAAATAAACTTTCCTTTATCTCAACGGACTCATTTTCCACAACGTTTTGATAGGTTTAACCAGATGGAGTATGAATAATGAAAACCGTTAAACAAAATTCCCTTTGATTCTTAGGACTCATTATCCTGAGAGTTCTAAATAATTTAATTATATCGTGCAGCAAATACTGGTAATTATTTATAAGGTTCAATTCGCAATTAAATAAATGTGAAACAGGAATATGCAAACATTACATAAATAAACTTTCCTTTATCTCATCGGACACATTTTCCACAACGTTTTATTAGCTTTAACCTGATGTAGTATGAATATTGGAAAACGTTAGACAAAATTCCCTTTGATTCTAAGGATTCATTATCCTGAGAGTTCTAAATAATTCAATTATATCGTGCAGAAAATACTGAAAATTATTTATAAGGTTCAATTCGCAATTAAATAAATGTGAAACAGGAATATGCAAACATTACATAAATAAACTTTCCTTTAGTTCAAAGGACTAATTTTCTACAACGTTTTGCTAGTTTTAACCAGAGGGAGTATGAATATTGGAAAACGTTAAACAAAATTCCCTTTGATTCTAAGGACTCATTATCCTGAAAGTTCTAAATAATTTAATTATATCGTGCAGCAAATACTGGAAATTATTTATAAGGTTCAATTCGCAATTAAATAAATGTGAAACAGGAATATGCAAACATTACATAAATAAACTTTCCTTTACCTCAACGGACTCATTTTCCACAACGATTTGCTAGTTTTAACCAGATGGAATATTAATATTGGAAAACGTTAAACAAAATTCCCTTTGATTCTTAGGACTCATTATCCTAAGAGTCCTTAATAATTTAATTATATCGTGCAGCAAGTACTGAAAATTATTTATAAGGTTCAATTCGCAATTAAATAAATGTGAAACAGGAATATGCAAACATTACATAAATAAACTTTCCTTTATCTCAACGGACTCATTTTCCACAACGTTTTGATAGGTTTAACCAGATGGAGTATGAATAATGAAAACCGTTAAACAAAATTCCCTTTGATTCTTAGGACTCATTATCCTGAGAGTTCTAAATAATTTAATTATATCGTGCAGCAAGTACTGAAAATTATTTATAAGGTTCAATTCGCAATTAAATAAATGTGAAACAGGAATATGCAAACATTACATAAATAAACTTTCCTTTATCTCAACGGACTCATTTTCCACAACGTTTTGATAGGTTTAACCAGATGGAGTATGCAATATTGATAAACGTTAAATAAAGTTCATTAAGTCTAAGGACTCAGTTTCCTGAAAGTTTTTATTAACTTGACCAGATGGAGCAGTCTGTACTAAAAATGTGGAAAATGAGTATTGATTGCGGATTTTCTGGAAATCAGGGCGTTTGTTATTGGATCAGGATAAATTACTAGTTCCTTTAAAATTGAAAAATGAGGTTGAAAAGTTGATCACTTCTTTGTATGTTGTCAAAATGTCAACTTAAATTGTATTGCTTTAGATTTAATTGTAGTAGTAAAAAAAGGCAAATAAGTTTCTATTAATTTATTACTTATGTGTCGTTATTTGTTGGGCAGTCTTTATGGGTGATGTTTGTTGTACCTAGAAACCCGACGTCACTTTTTTTTTTATTTTATTTATGTGTAACTTATAGTTTTAGAATGTCAGCGAACCAAGATTTTTAAAAAAATAAACATAGACAACAAGATCTTTTGCTGTAATGCTCTTGTTACGCTCAACAACACATTTTCTTTGTAGAAGTTTTGGTCGCTCTTATTCTAAACGTGACGTCTCTGTTACGATCAAAGATAACATTTTGATAATAAATCATGTGAATTTTATGTATGTTAGCACTATTACTTTAATTTTTAATACTTTATTACGAATATGTTTCACACTGTTATAAGCTGGAAGGTATTATTCAAAATTTACTCGAACCATTTGCAGATCACTGTTGGGAATGTTTGTTGTATCATACAAAATCTAATCTTTATTCTGATTGTTTCACACTGTACATAAATCTTTTATTTAGCTTAATATGTATCCATTAAAAACTTCAATATTTAATTTGTCATTATCAGGCACCTGTTTTCCGTTTCAAGCGGAATCGTTACAGTCTTTAGTACATCATCAGCTGTATTATCAGTTAATAAATATTAACACCCTCGTTATTACACAGATGAATCGTCGTCGTCAAATTTGATGGAGCTTTAGAAGCGGAGAACAGGTAGAGAGAGAACATATCGTTATTCTATTACAGGGGACACTTATTTCTATACGAACAGTCTGATAACATAGAAAAATATGGTTATAAAACTCATTTGCCTTATTTAACATCTTCAAGGCACCTTTACATGAATCAAAATCAGAGAAAAGAAGGTAAAGATGTAAAGAGTGTATCGTAATTCTTCAAGAAGGAGAAACCCACTTATTTTTTGTTTAACTGATAAGTACAGCGCTAATATTTGGCCACACATTTATTAAATCTAATCTATCGGCTAATATAACAGGCCATACATCAATACATTTAATTGGATGATTATTTAACATAAAATCTGTTTTAAAAGATGCGAAGAGTGAAAGACAAATTAGAAATTACTTTACTAACGGAAATTCTGGTAAATATAAAGATAAATTCAAACAATTCTTTGTACATCACAGATAATGTGAAAGAATTAATAAAATATCAAGCGCATATAATACTGCAATTGGAATTTAGAAGTATGAACGAAATCATCGCCAATATTATTTCATAGTTGATTACATATGCAAAATTTAATTTTACTCCAAAGGAATGAAAAAAGGCCCACATCTGGGTACTTACCAAACCCACAGATAAACTATTAGTTATTTTATTGTTTAGAGAAGCAACCACTAGATACGAATGCAAGGAGGTTGAAAAAAAATTTGTAAAATAAAAGTGACCAAAAAAGTGAAATTATATTATATTCAAAAGCGTTTTAAGGAAATAATTTAAACAATAACAAATGTACAAAATTAATGTAATTTAAATTTTTTGGTATAAGAAATCTAGGAAAAGGTTCACTGTTATTGTCCTTATTTATCCTTAATTTTGTAGGTTGCTTATTCATTTTATTAATTGTAAGGAAACAAACAATTAACAAAAGCACCGATTCTGTGATATACATATCATTATGTGAATATATCGGAGGGGTCACACGTATCTATATATAGTTACAATAATAACACACATGTATAAGTTTAACAGAATTGTCATACACATACGTATAAACGTTTTGATGTAAGTAATAATGACCACAATGAAAGCCTAATAACATCACTAAAATCTTACAAAAGAATGGCAATCGTTTTCGATTACAGTTATATCAATGGCAATTATAGTCAATAAACTAGAAATTTTTAGGATTTTTTTAACGATAACAGCGTAAATATACATATAATAGTACTTATATTTCTAAACGCAGCAAAAAACATTTCGAGAAACAAAAAAGTCGAATAGAAAAAATAGAATCAATCACAAAATTCTAATCACAACGTTTTTCTCTGAGAAGCGTAACGAAAGGCGATGCACATAAAAGGTACATATACAAATAGATAATCGTGTTCGAATACGTTAATCAGACAAAGTGACTTTTTATCACAGTATAAACACTATCATTCCTAGCCGTCATGTAAAAAGTCTTGTATAGAAATATTGAACATCTTAAATTTACCTATTATTTTTGATCTTCTTAAAAATACCATTTAATTTATTTTAAGTGAAGTACTTTAGAAATCTAAAGCAGTTTCCAAAACTAATGTAACATTTTAATATTATTTATCATTTCCAAAATATCTGAAATTACCTACAAAAGAAACAAAACATTGCTTTTGTTTATCTGACTATTACATTTCGTAGATTCGGTTTGACTCTTGCCAAACATTTGAAATGCTACAGTTACCAGTCAACATCACTAGATGGCGAAGTACTGCTCAGAACTTGATATATAATATCAATTTTCTTTGATAGAGAAACTTTAATTTGATTCGTGATTTATCGAAATCGCTATATACGTCTACTAATTAATATTCATTACTAGAATAATTTCTTTTTAAAATTCAATCGAAAACAATCCTTCATCAGTCCAGGTTGTTCATTTGTGTCTTTCATTCACCAACTATTTGTTGTATGACTTTTTAATACAATTAGGAAACTGATTTAGGATTTCTATTTAATTCATAAGCTTACTGCGCGTTATGTCTAATCCAATCAATTCGTTAACAACTAAGACATACCTGAAGAAGGATCGTCGTCGTCAATTCCAGGTGTAGAAAGTACTTTCTTCCGCGACGGTATCGTTCCCTGTTCCTCCTTAAAAAGTTCCTCTTGGACTACGTCGTCATGTCCTTCTTCCGCATGAACATTTTTAACGAAAACTGGCTCAGTATTAACAACGTGACTGCTAAACTGTTTTTTCGAATCTTTAGAAACAACTGGTTCAGTCTTTTGTTCGGTTACGTCTTTTGTTTTGCTTTTATCAGACACAACGGTACTTTGACCGTCAAATTGATCGCTATTATTATTATTATTGTCAACAGCACTCGAATTTAAATTTAACTTTGACACCCGATTTTTGACTATTTGGAGATGACGTACTATGTAATCTTCTTCTGGTGCTAGTTCATGCGCGTTCTCGAGACATGTTTGAGCCTCCATCAATTTCCCCCTTTCTACATAAACGACGCACAAATTGTGAAGGCCCTGTATATTTTCAGGGTCTAATTCCAGAATTCTCTTATAACACTGAAAGGGAAAATACATAAAATATTTACGTATTAGGTTTTATTTTTGGTTCATGTGGTATAGGTAATTGGAAAGCAGTACTGAAACTGACTGAAACAACAGACAATTATATGTCAGTTAAAATATGAAGCATGAAAAATAAGAACAAACTTTATAGATGAAAACTTTAGTTTTATTTCGAGATTTACTTTTAGATAGCACTCTTTTAATGTTAAAAAAAGTACCAATCGAACTTGTTCTAGTGCGTTATTATCTTAAATGAATACTCATGTGACTGAAAATATCGTGTGTGTGTAGATTCTTGGATATTTCTACCTGATTAAGTTTAACGAATATGGAAGATTTCTATCGGTTTTTATTTCTTTCATTCTTCGACTTACGTTTTCAGCTGCGTCCAGGTCTTTGATGTTGTTGATATAGATGTCACCGAGAAGTATGAGCCCCTTAATATGATCGGGATGATACTTAACCAACTGATTGAGAAAAGGCGCTGCCTCCAAAGGTCTTTGATCATCGGCGAGCAATAATGCGAGATTAAACAGGGCGCTTCTAAAATCCGGTTTCAGATGAACTGCTCTTCTGAACCAGTGCTCGGCTTCCTCTGCGTTCTTATCGTCCATGGCTAACATGCCCAAATTGAAGTGAACGCGCTCGTTAGAACCGTCTTTCTGTAGCAACTTCAGTAGCCTTTCCCTTGCCATTTTTCGCAACTCCGGTCTTCCCAGTTCTTGAAGCAGAATCGCTGAGTTAAGGAGAGCCTGCTGATGTTCGGGATCGATGTCTAGAGCTTTGTCCAAATATGCTAACGCTTGAGATGCTTTCCCTTGCTCTAAGAATACCACTCCCAACTGAACAAAAGAGAAACAATTGCATATCAAATTTTTCCTTTCTATAGCAACTTACTAATTAATTTAATGTTAATTACATTCTAATTGTTGTTGTTAACTATACAATAACGTATTATTAGAACCATCAAAGATAGTTTTCCTTTCTGTAAAATTCTTTTTATAGCTAAGTACATAAATTAGGGATGAGGTAAACCACTATAATCTTTTCGATGCGTAGCTACTTACGTTGTAATAAATGTCCGGATTATTTCTGTCGTAGAGGAGAGCCCTTTCGTAAACTTCTTGTGCTTCTTTAGTCCTATTCAATTTTATCAGTATATCTCCCCTGTTTATGTAAGCCTGCGTGTAGTCCGATCTCATACTGATAGCCTGGCGGTAAAGCATGTCGGCCTCTTCCAATCTGGTGGAATTTTTTGATATTAAATTCGCCAGGTTCAAGAAAACGTTTAGGTGGTTGGGAGCGATGCGCGCCTGGTACGATTCTCCAGGTTTCGCTTTAGGCAGCAACGATTTCGCCTTCAAATATGCTTCTTCTGCCTCTTTAAACATTTTAAGATGATTGTATGTTCTTCCGACGTTAATGTATGCGCCTACGTCGTCTTCCTGAACGCTGACAGCAGTATGGAAATATTTCAGGGCTTCCTTGTAGTTCCCTTGACTTTCCAACGCATGGCCCACGTTGTTGAACAACTTTGCGTTTCGCTGGTTCACCTAAAATGTTGGTTTAGAGCTTTTTGCTTTGCTTATTCTGTACCTAATGCTAGTTTCCTCGAGATGTCAATAGCTTCATATTAATTTATTTTGTATTTGAACTAAAATAATGACATCGGTGCATTTGTTTGCGTTTTCTACTTTGAAATTTAATTTTCCTACGTTTCATGGAAATTGGAACAAACGTTCGCAATGCAATCAGAACATGCTTTATAAAGTCTTGAAGGCAGAGATTTGAACGGTCAATACAATTGTGTATTTACCAGTTCAAAAGCAAATTTATCCAATAAACAAAATTAAAATTAAATTTCCCAGTAAACGGTAAAGTAAATATCAATAAATATAGACCGTAAATCCTAAATTGTTCACCTTCAAACCCGAGACAAATATTGAATATTCCGTTTCCCAGTCCCAGTTTCTTAAGTAAGTCTTGCAGCCGTGAGTAATTAAAAGAAGTACAAAAATGAGTCCAGCCAGCCTCTTGCTTTTCCTTTGTGAGATACAGTTCAATCCGTACGCGATAAGCAAACAAAATCCCATCGAGGGCATGTACAAAACTCGTTCAGCAACCACAAAGCCAACTGGGAAGAACAAATTCGAGGCGGGAAGGAACGGCAAAGCCATAAGAGCCAAACCCTGCAAAAAACAATTTCGCAGTAGTAGCCACTCATCACAGAATCCTTATTGAATTCATATAAAGGACAATATCGACAAACAAAGGACATGCTCATTTGCTTTGATTACGTACTTAAATATTATAAATATTTAGAAGTGAGTCTTCTTCATAAGGTACGAGAAGATGAATTTGTATATATTGCAGGTTGTTATTAATTAATCTCGGGAGAAAAAGGCATAAAGCTTGCTCAAGGTTTTGTTTTTCAATCTTTTCTTTGAGTTTAATTTGTAACAACTTTAATTAGATATTTCTTTCGTCAAGTGCTCAGTTTCGCTTCCTTTTTTCGTTGTAAGTTTAAACCACCATGTCTAGAGAGAAACGAGAATATTTCTTGTCGGTCTCGTTTCTTTGTATCTGCTCGAAATAAATGACATTTTCAACATGTCTAGACTGTCAGACGCTCCCTTTCATCGTGAAGGGACAACTTGGACGAAAATAAAATAACAACATAGATAAAGGAACATTAGGGCACAGCAGATAAATTACCATCGAAACCGATTTAATGTGTCATACCCTTATTAAATGAGTGGAGGCTTTCCCTGCGATGAAATGAAATAGCGACGTGACAGTTATGCGAACCTGTGAATCTTTCCCATGTTAATTTTAAAGTAGATGTAAAAAAGCTCAATACGAGCGTGGAAGCTCTACATAAAGGTTTTTATTGCTGACAGTAAGCATCCCATCGTAGCTTTTCCATAAACACGTTATTGTTAACGATGAATATCATGAAGCAAGAGTGGTAATTGTGAAGGATCGAATTTTTGACGTTTCGAAATGAATATTGTGAACTACAAAAATTTTGATTTGTGCAATATTTGGCGCCTAAAGACACAATGATCACGTTTACTATATATGTAACAGTTTATTATTGACATCTTTAGTTGGAGGGATAAATAAATAGTTTAGTTAATGTGCAATAACGTACGAATACTGCGCGAAAGTGGGTCATGACAGAACTCCATTTGCTGACCCTTGTGCGGTATGTAATGTTCTATAAAAATACCAAACCTTAGTATCAAAGAAAGTGAGAAAAAGGACTCAGAGTTAATAACAGAATCTTTCGTTGGAAATATTCTTTAAGTTTTCGGCAGCCCCGTGCCAGCAGTGGAAGTTTCAATAACTGCTGTTACAAAAGCTCATATCTAAAAGATTGTAAAATAGCGTATGTAAGATTTCGTTTTAACAAACTATTACATTTTTAAATCGGTTTATGGAAAATACTTTTGTGTAAATAGTTGTACTGGGTAGAAAAATATAATGATGGGTACCATTACTCTGTAAATTCTAAAAACTGTTGTTCGTGCTTATATTTGTTCGATGCCATTAAAAGCACACCGGCAGTTGTGCCTACTGAATAATTGTATTGATTAATAAAACATAAAACCTTGATGACTGCCTGACGTGCATAAAGCGTGAATATTAACGCATTACTTGTATCCTTCGTGAACATAACACGAACGCTGCAATAACCTATTAAAAAGTCCCTAGAATTAACAATTCTCAGAGAAACCAGCTTTAAATCGTATATTTTATGCCTACATAACCCGATAGGTAAAAACGAATAATTTTATTAATGGATTCTAATTCAAAAAAATAAAATTGATTTGTATATTTCCTTCGATGAAATTCATACACGAGATTGGTGGTGTATTTCGTCTTAGAAGATCATTTGAAAGTTAATTGCTAGCTGTACAAACTCAAGAAGCTGACAATTTGAAAATGCAACTTCATTACCTTTCTTCACTAACAGAGTTACGGTAATCGCCAAGAAGTTAATGTACGTAAAAGTTTAGTGATATCGAATAATCCATTCTACAGTCACGGACTTGCTAGTTTTATCCAATTTCTTCTGGTAATCAGATAATGAAATCACGGCGCGTGGCTAGAAAACTAACTTTTCAACGAATAGCAGTAAGTGGAATTAGGGCCAGTCTAACCATATTTAAAAGAATCTGAAAGCAATCTAACTTTACATAATGAGTTTAGGTAGGTAATGATTGCCAACGAAAAAGGCAGATTTTTAATTTTAGTGAAGCACATTTAATACCAAGAAACTGGCGTATTGCTATTTATATTTACAACTAACTGTAGTACTTTATAGACTGGATGAGAACAAATAAGTTTGTAATCGATATCAAAAACCTAATAATCAATACTTTACCTAATGGAATAATTATTTCTATATACGACCTACAAATTATATGTTTTCATGATCATATATGTAGGTATATACATAATATAGAAATCCAGGAATATGCATGGAAAAGGCTAGCTGATGATAACAATTGTGAGGGTTCAAAATTTGTAAATTACTTTTTCTGCTTTGATTCATCTAAATTCCGTTATATTCAAATATGCAAATTCGAATATTAAGCGCATAATCTGTATTACAATACAAAAGTCCTTCAGCGTGATGCCTCATAATCATAAAATGACCGAAGAGGGCGTCCTATCCGTTGTCCTTAATTTACATATTTGCAAATACATATCAACGACCTTTGCTCAGTCCGATGACTTTAGGTAATAATGACTCCATTGAGCTAACACTTCTAAATTTTTGCTAGCCAACAATTTCCCGTAGCATTTTAGGTAACGTGGAATTACGTACAAGTCTTCAAGCTTTTATAACTATAAATTAAGGTATAAATCATCGTAAAGCCAGACAAAAAAGCGATTATAACGAAGGCAAGTCCATATTCATTAGAGAGATCCTTTGTTTGTCTCCCTTAATCTTCTGAAATATTCCCTTTCAATTGAGGTTGCAACTGCCTCAAACAGCACTTCACTTTTCGAAGTGGTTCGCATGAATGGAATTATTTTTTTGAATATTCATAACGGCCGCGAACGGCAGTTATTGTGTCCCGTCAGCGATTTTCCACGGTCGATTGTATGAAACTGAATTGCAGGCGGTGGGATGTTCATTATCACATATATTTCTACTTTCTCTTTTTCCTCTACTTCCTAGTTCCTCTACGGCGTACAGACGACGAAACAAATCACCCCTTTTCAAAAATACGAAAAGAAAAAATACGAGTAGCTACCTCTCATCATAAAAGGAACACGTTATTTTATACATACAAGAAAACATGCAGTGAATGCTATCGATACCGGTCTTTTTCATATTTTCTTGAAATTAGTAATAATTTAGTTAGTAGGGAAGTGATTTTGGTAGCGGTAGGTATTTACCGACAATAAGATATCGTAGGTGCTTGTCACACTGATGTATTGGTTTAATAAGAACCCCTAGTTATTTGAATTATTTTCTCATATTGTTTAGAGCATGTAAAAATTCATGCCGAACGCGGAAAATTGGGCGTGAATAGCTGTAAGACGATGAAATATGGCGCTTCTGTGTAAAGCTGTCTCAGAACAGGCAAGGCGCATTTAAATGACAATAACAGCCATTTACAACCAAAAGCAAAACGGAAGGAGACTAATACTCCACCCGTATGCAAATGAATAGTTCATCATGATTTAAATAATAATACCCAAGCGAAATTGCACAATATATAACATATCCGGACAATTAATTATGCAACAACTCTATCTACTTGACTATTTTGAGGGTTTCCACGTTAAATATCTTGTTCGTCAGTTTCTTAATTTTGTATTAGGTATAATTATATTATCTGCAAATTTTGATTTTTAAATCAAACATACACATACGAAATAGACCCTGCAAGTGTTGTAACAACTTGAAAATCAAACAGCAAAATTTATCTATGTATAAGCCGTCACATTCTTTTCGTTTTTCATGACTAGTTTCAATGGTTTGTTATACGATCCACTAATTAACGAACAGTTTCACAAAATCACGTCGAGTTCTATTCATTATTTCGAGATACATTTGTTTTCGCTTTGAATAGAGCAAACTGCGTAATAACTAGTGGTGGTGCCTCTGAAATTTGAATTCGTTTCATTGGCAACGTGTAAAAAAAGGAATAGAGACATAGAAACGGGCAATTTAAAGGGAGAGAATGGTAAATTTTTGGTACTGGTTATACAAAATTGTTTGCACATCTGTTCACCTCGTCCATATTAAGTAAAATTCTAAAATAATTTTGTTCATACGTTAGGTATCATAACGTTTATCACGATCTTCCTTTTTTTGGCAGAACATCGTTTTCGAAATTTATAATTTTGTGTTTAATTAATAGTATTTATGAACAATGAAGTAGTAGAGGTAATATGGATCAGTTGTAATGTTGTATTCGTTGCTCTTGTTGACTATAAAACCAATGGGATTTATTGACATACGGAAAATTTGAAATTATTCGAATTGCTAATTTCTCTGCAAGTCTTGCAATCGGCAAGTTTGAAAATTATATACTAACCACCGCAATACGTGCTTTTTTCTAATATACCGTCTTTATTAAGAAATGATATCTTATTGGAAATGGTCCTCATATTGGTTAGTATCGTATCTCTGTAATCTAAATCCAATTTACTGTGGACTCTGGGGATTGTAAAGAACTCAATATGAACTAAATTACTTCTCTCAGTAGCAGTTATTATCAATTTTTGTACGAGGCATGTAACTCGACGTTAGGGTTTTTATAATGCAAAAGATTATTCATCCTATGTCAAAAAATTGAATTGAACACCGTTATCAATAGAGCATCTTTCTTTCCACAAAGGAATATGTAAAGCTTCCATTTCTATTTAGCATGTACAGAAATCTACCCGTTTTAAGCTAATGTGTTTTTGAAAAACATTTGCTCATATCAGTTAGAATGTTCCACTTCGTCTTTAATGATCTCATAGCCCTAGGCATACATCTGTTCACTAAACCTATCATCTTTGCGGATGATTTATGATCTTCAAAAAAATCCATTTCAAATTTCCTGCCACTTTCCAACATCTCGCTATATCTCTTAGCTACTCATTTCTTTCTATCTGTATTTGTGTGGTACATAAACGAAAGTGTCTCAACAAATTTAAAAAAATATATGCAGTAAGACACCCCGATATAAAAATGTTCAGTCTCTCAGAGTCTCTGAAAGCGAGACTCGAGTCTCCGTCTCTCATCGAGTCTCTCTGGTGTCGCTGGAGACTGTCAAAAAAGCTGTTTAGCGTGTCCGAACGAGACTTGAGTCGCTCATAGAGAGATCCTAATTTCGTATCCAGTCTCTGAAGGAGAGGCTCGAATCTCTGAATGAGAGACTCGAATCTCTCAATTAAGTGGTGCCTCGATAGTCATAGTTAAAACAAAGTTCAACATGTTTCAGAGATCCCAGTCTTTCTACGAGAGCCTCGAGTTTCAGTTTTATTCATTCAGTCTCTCTGTGAGAGACTCGAATCTCTGAATTAACAATTTTATCGATCGAGTCTCTCATACAGAGACTATGAGAGATCCATAAAAACACCTAGGCAACAACTGAGAGCCTGTAAAAGACTGTGAGAGACGCTCTCAGAGACGCTGAAAGACTCTGAAAGATTGGAGAGAGACTGAAATTTAACTTCCTGTGTTGATGGTATTGAGCATATTTCAGTAAGAATGTTGGTTAAATTTGTAGAAAACATTGCCATCAAAATTTGCTAGTGCGGTCTAGCTGTATTCTCAAGGGTTGTAATGATAAATGCTATTTTAATGCTATCACTCGGATTCTATTGCACTGATTGTTTTATTTGCTATTCGTATATTCACTCCGCACTGTCTGTCACTCGATCTTGGTGTTTATATGGGAAATATTCGTTCTGGTTGTCATCTTAGACGATGTTTCGTTGGCAATTCTGATTCTACTTGAAATTCAAGGAGAGAGAGATGACATTTGTGAGAGCTTGTTATATTAAATTATAACTAAAATAGGTGACTGCTTTAGAAAGGAAGGATTCGTAGTCACTTTTGGTATACCTATTAGGTTTAGGAAGGAATATTTAGTTTAGATTTTATAGTTATACATACAATATAACATATGTTACCAAAATTGTAAGGTAAAAATACGACTTTGGTGTAATGTTGGAGAGATTACAAAAACAAGCTAAAATTTTCATTTTTTATTGAAAAAGGCAGATATTATGATAAACTTTTTAAATATTTGATATTATAATGGTAGGTACTATATCGTCATATACCTGAAGTACCAACCTTATTTATACGTTTGAAGGTACGAAGACATCTAAGCCGTATGTCACAGTACTTATAACAGATGGCGATATACTGTCAAGAACATGACATTACTAAACTTTTGTCATACTTACATTTGGCTTCACATTTCATATCATGCCTTTTTTAAGTAAACGTGATGTTTGACTCCTAAACATGGCACTTAATTAGGATCATTTTGTATTATGTCGAACTACTGTTAACACTATTAAGTCGGAATATTAATTCTCACATCAGTCGCTATATTGAACTGTGACGAAGACCGCAAGCCGAACGTATGGAGCACACAAGTGGCATGCTGAATATTGCTATGCCAACGTGGTTCAGAGCCGTTTGATGTCTGTTTTGACATGAGCTCAACTTAGTGCTTGCTAGGGCACTTGAACATTGTTTTGATGATCCCGTTTTCATATAAATTTCTAATTTACAATGCGTTTCTACTCCATGTACTGGTACAGCCACGGCATAGTCTCCTTTAAGTAATTTAGATTCTAAAATTTATTAAAATTGAACATTTTTAGTTGAACTGCTTTGGTTATTAAAAAGACTTGCAACCAAGAATTTTATTTTACATCTAGGTACTTACCTATTACGTTCGCTTCAATCAAAATACCTAAACAACATCCAGGTTTATTATCAGTCAAATACCTTTATAATTTGTGTGTTTCGTCCTCTGGATGATGAATTTCTTAAATATTTTGATACGCTCAAGACTTAGGATGCAATTGGCATTGACACTGACTTGGACTTATACCTATGGCTGATTTAGGATATAAAATGGTTAAAAACTTACCATAATCAGAACAACTGCTTTCTGCCTATTTTCGGAAGTGAATGCTGTCCAAGCGAAAGTTGCTATGAAGATATATCCGATCAGAGTGCCTAAATTTCTCGGATCTAATAACGATTCAATTAGTGGAACAGTCCCCATTGTCCAGTCACAACAGAGATCACATGGAAACAATAAAAGCCAGAGATTCAAACTGATCAAATAGTTGTATGTCAGTTGCCTTGTTGGCGTGGGTGATACTGAAGCAGGGTTATCGAAACGTGTGAATACAGGCAACTGTGCACCCATCACTTGAAGACGTACAAAAAGCAGACACAACGTCGTAAATGCTAGAAGAAGCAGTCTCTTCGTTGCGTCGCTAGACCATGGCAAATGAAAAGGAGTCTTCCCTGTCAGTGCCACTTTCAAAGTGTGCTTTATATCGGAGAATTGCACCTGTAAACAAAAAGTACTTTGTAAGCTTAATATTCTGCTGGATGTCATAAAGCAAATTGTCACTTTTATGACAAGTCGTATGCCCTGATGGCGCCCTAAAAGAGAACAAGTAAAATGTGTCCATTTTTGAAGGTATTAAATTTACACTATCACGTTCAAGTATCTTTATTAAATCTGCAGAATAAAAAAGGAAATAAATTACTAAAAGACGATGTTAATAAGTAAATAAGTTATTATTTGTAACGTACTGATTTGAATCCACAAAATTTAGTTATAAACTTTCAGAATATTGTTCAATACAAATATGTTCCTTAATAATTATCCTTATTACGCCTACACACAGGTGTAGCCTTATATGAATGTGTAGCATAAGTTGGTTTACAATTTAAATTCTAAATGTAGCAACCACAGAGAATTTACAGACCACTATTTAATTAATTATGTACACGATAATTCTACAAAAAATTAATTGAATGAATACCACGGAACCCAAAGAATGTTCGTTGATTTAATTTCTGTAAACAATTCGACAGTTTTACATAGTTGGGGAATATCAAATGCATATCATTATATCATTTTTTCGACATGCGGTTAAAAACCTGTAGCTGCACTGTTATCCGAGATAAAAATGTTCAGTATCTCAGAGTCTAAAAGCGAGACTCGAGTTTCTCTGGTGTCGCTGAGAGAGACTGTCAAAAAAACTGTTTAGCGCCTCTGAACAAGAGACTCAAATCGCTCATAGAGAGATTCTCATTTCGTATCCAGTCTCTGAACGAAAGACTCGAATCTCTGAACGAGACACTAAATCTCTCAATAAGTGGGGTTTCGATATATATGGTTAAAATTTTCTAAGTTCAACATATTTCAGTGGTCCCAGTCTTTCTAAGAGAGACTCGAGTCTCTCAATTTTTCAATTTTATTCATTCAGTCTCTTTGTGAGGGACTCGAATCTCTGAATTAACAATTTTATCGTTCGAGTCTCTCATACAGAGACTGTGAGAGATCCATAAAAACACCTAGGCAATAACTGAGAGACTGTGAAAGACTGTGAGAGACGTTCTCAAAGACACTGAAAAACTCTAAAAGATTCTGAGAGACTGGAGAGAGACTGAAAATGTTTGTTTACGGTTTACATACATGTATGTACAAATTTGATAAAATGCAGAAAATTCTTAAGTATGAGATTTTTTTGCTGAACCTAAAAAGGAACAAGGATTGTATCTTGAAATATTTTCCATGATGTAAGAAATGGAAAAATCGATAGTCGCAATAAAATTCTTATACGCTCTTCTAAAAATTATTTCATGCAGCACGTTTGTGATTCCTTTTTGCCATTTAGGAAGTTACGTAGAACGAAGGGAATTTAATGCATTTCGACCGCATACCAATTTCTGGTTGAACGATAGTATTGGCCGTTTTCTTATTCTGATCCACTTGCATACCGAAGTTTCGTTCTACGTATTCTTATAAGTCGACTGAGAATAAAAATCACATAGAGTGAAAACTCTTTTGCCTCGTTCATCTCATATGTAGGTACCAATATGGTTTTAAAGGCGAAGTTTTAAGAATTGCTACTAAAAGAATCTACGTAATATATGCACTATATCATCATCATCAGATCTTGTCAGTTATTCAATTATTTCAAAGGCATTGGAAACTTGGTAAATTAGATTTTCTTTGGATACCAATATGCATTGCATTGTTCAAAACAGTTTTGAGGACTATAAACAGTATAAGTTCTTGACTTGCATACCTTTCACGTATTGTATAAGTTATATTATTGTATAGATATCCCACAGAGGTTCTTGTCGGACATGAGAAACAGACACTTCCTTTAGTAGCAAATAATAGTAGATGGCGATCTACTGTCACAAATGGATGTTAAAGATGTACATTAATTTGTTTTTTAAAAACTAGACTGATAATATTATTGTTTGATGCAACCAATAATTGTAAACATATATAAGAATAGTGACAGTGAAAGCTCTTGGTAGTAATCAAATTAAAGGATATTAGGATAACAGTTAAATAAATTGTGAAACGGGACAATTGATATGTTCAGTAATTAAGTAATATCTACTACCAATATTAACAAATGTAAAATTAAGTAGGTTTTGTTACGCCATTCAGTTTCTTTGAAACCAAAACCTTTACAATTTTTGTCGATTAATAATAATATATTAGTAATTAGATGGCTATAAAAAGGATAAAACACGTACCTTCTGCAGAGCGAAAATTTCGTATACTGCACAAACTCCTGTTACAGTGATACCTTGTTCTTTGCATAGCATTGCCATTGCTACACATAGCGTACACAAACCCATATATCTCCAGCCTGCAACAAAACATTAAAAATAATATTTTCACATAATAGTAAATAAAAACTCACCAAATTGTACCTTACAAATAAACTATACAAAATCTGGTATCCGTAATCATAAATAAATATTTAAAAGTGAATCTAAGAAATAGTAGTGCCTTGGATGATTTATATTATCCAGTTTCATTTGCATTAGGGATATACATGTACATTTGCAATAACCGTCGGGAAATTTAAATGTCGAGAAGATCTTTTCTTTAATAAATGCGAAACATTTGGTCTGCAATTGTATTAAATAAAAGATATCGCAAACGTATCTGGGCACCAGTCTGCTTAAATAAATTGAAACACTAATTCCAGTTTCTCACAAGCAACGTTTCAGTTTCTCGACAGATTCGAAAATATTAAGTTAGTCTTAAGGAAGGCGGTCGCACATCCCAACTTTCCACAAGACAAGGGAATTCCTTAGTGAATATTTAGTTTTGCTCCAAGTTTTATCCTAATGTGCCCTCCTAGTTAGAATTTAAAATCAGAACTTAAGCCGCATTGCAATTCTTGACGAGCGGAATGGTCCTTCCTTATCACAAAACTATCTACATAGACATGTAGGTATGTTTAGTTTTATTAAACTTTGTTCTTCGCTTTTTCGTTCCATTCTGCGCGAAATGTAATAAGTATTCTAAGATTTCTACTCCCAACTTTTCCCTGCCGAAGGCTGCATTCTTGCAAGTACGGACGCATTAATGGAGTGGAAGTTTCAACTCTGCAAATTTTAAATTAAATTCATTCGACTTTCGCAATTATTAACTATCGCCTTCGTGTAATGGAGAAAAGGCTGCAGATTCAATTTTAATTACTTATCAGTCGTCATCAATCGTAATGAATGAGAAATAATTATGATCTTAATTTAATAAATTTATCCACCACGCCTTCCTCCTAAATAGATAGTTACTTTTATATTTAGAATGGAACTGANAGAATCGGTCGATAATTTAAAAATAAATAAAACTCCCAAGATCCTTCGGACAACTTCGTTGGTGTCTCAACTAGGAAACCTTAAGAATTAATCTTCAGTACGGACGTCAAAAAATAAAGAGCTCTTGGTAGTTCTCTTTTGACAAGATTATTCTACTTTTGCTACGAAAACTTCTGACTCTGGGGCGTTTTATTTTTATGAGGATATAACTAACTTTCTTGGATGTTATATCCGACAGTTATATACTAAATTTGTAAGCGTCTACACTGAACATCCATTGTACTCTTATTATGGCGAGACTTTTATTAAGAATTGTAGTACAACAGTGGTTTTAATTCACGAAAATTATAATCTAGTATCTCATTCTAAACATAAATTACTAGAGACATTTAGTAATTAATCACAAAATTGTAGATATTACACTCGCAAAATTAGATTGCTACATTTATATTACTGTAGCAAAATATAATCAGATTTACTATTTTACTGCAATAGCACTTCATAGTCAGTAAATATTATCACTATAACTTTGAGATTTGTTACTCTCTTTTTTCTTTGAATCCTTGTGTTTTTTTTTTGAGTTCATTCTGAAAATCAATCTCATGACCGCTCTAGACAAAAATTTTCGGTCTCTCTCCAGTCTGTCAGAGTCTTTCAGTGTCTCTGAGAGCGTCTTTCACAGTCTCTCAGTTATTGCCTAGGTGTTTTTATGGATCTGTCACAAGCTCTGTATGAAAGACTCGAACGACAAAATTGTTAATTCAGAGATTCGAGTCTCTCACAGAGAGACTGAATGAATAAAACTAAAAAATTAAGAGACTCGAGTCTCTCGTAGAAAGACTGGTATTTCTGAAATATGTTGTTTTAACCATGTACATATATCGAAACACCATTATTGAGAGATTCGAGTCTCTCGTTCAGAGATGCTAAACAGTTTTTTTGACAGTCTCTCTCAGCGACACCAGAGAGACTCGATGAGAGACGGAGACTCGAGTGTCGCTCTGAGAGACTGAACATTTTTATCTCGGGCGTCTTCTCCTATAGATACATTTATTTACTGAATGCATTTATTAACTAGATTTTACCCACCTGTTCGCTGCGACTACATAAAACTAGATAATTTGGAATACACTAGGTCCTTTTCATGATGATCGGTTAAGTGGTTAAAACGTGATTTGCATTTATAATATTAGTTATAGAATTGCATCAATTTCTGTTATAAAGAATGATTATTCAAATATTCATGATTTACCGTAGGTAATTGTGCTGTTAGTTTTAGTCTAACGTCTGTACTTCGCAAATGCTAAAATAAATGGTGTTGTACCAAAAAAAAATGTTGGAAGAAATTAAATTACGGATATGTAATTTCACGTTGAAGTTCTCCCAGGTTTATTACTAATTCAGCTTTGCCAAAATTTTTTCACCAACTGAACATAAAAAATTCATTGCCACTTCCGAGTTATTAGTTCCACGTTTCGTGGTTCCTTGTTTAAATAATTAATTTACGAGAACCATCAGGGGGTAAGTTTCGTTAGAGGAACGCAGCTGTTATCGTTAAAGTTAACACGTGCTTGGAGACAAATGGGAGATAATGGGTCTAAGGAATAATAATTCGCCTAAACAACGCTTCAGAAACAGCAATAAATTATTTGGTGGCACATGACTTGACAATAGCCTCCTGTTCCTCGACCGTAACTGAAATTTCTACGTTACAAAGCCACTTAAGGTTTACAAAGTGTCTGATTAAGTTTTCGTCGCAAAAGCGCATTGTGGTGTCAAAAGAATAACAAAGTTATTGTACAACTATCGTATTTGATCACATTAACACTTTATTGACACCTCGTCGTTGGTTTTCCGAATTATAACCGTTTACGTGATGGCGATCGTTACTAATTTCGGGGCCCTTTTGTTACAGAAACAGCTCTTCAAGGGATGAATCCTTTGAATATCTAAGAGACATCCTTGATTACCTGCTTATTTTATTTATTAATTATTAAGGAAACCTTCATTTAATTTCGGAAGAAAGTGGCACATACCGTATTAGATTGCTCATATACTGATCAATATTCATACTTTTTCCATTTGCTACATCCACAACAACGTACATTTCAACCAGGATTTCGGGATTTTTACAATGATATTCATGTCAGTCGTTCAGTTGTGGCATTGTTAAGAAGAGAATACAAAACACAAACTGTATTCTTGTGACAGAAAAACTCTCAATAACAGTCACTGTTACAATACAAGATTAAAAAACAAATAAAAATTAGATTATTTATTGATGGGTGGTTACGAGATTTTTTTTGTTGGTCATTCAAGAAATAGCAGAGTACCCTGCATATTCTCCCTATGTATATAAGTATTCATGTTACTTGACATCTTTCATTTCGATTTCGCCTTTTCCTTAATCATTTATCATTCTAAGTACAAAAGTAGATGACTTTTGTTGCTACACATAGAGAAACTTCAATTCCTTCCTGTTTTCTTCCGGTCGCTGATATCTGCAGTATTCAGAATTAAATGGATTTGGCTACTATTTATCTTCCTTGTAAATACGAGGAACTTAAAAGCGAAAACGGAGTTCCACCCCTTCCATAAAGTAATAAATTACTTGAACTTTTGCCTAAGGAATTTACGTTATGAAAAAACTTTTTATAAATTCGGTCCAATTTTACCTTGCTCTTGACTTCAACGCAAAATGTGAAAGTAGGCATTAGGCATACGAAGCGTGATTTTCAAAAATACTTTTAAGCAATAGATGATCCAGGACAGGAACTCAATTAGGAAAGATCTATTTAGTTTTGATCTAAATTTTATTTTTAGGATTATTTACGAAGTTATTTAAGATCCTTTTTAGCTTAAATACCAAATTATTATAAAATTTAAATTGAAACATTCAAGAATTGATTTTTTTGTAGAATTTCATTCTTTTCAATTTCCTACATTACAAGAGTTTGAATTATGTTTAAAAAGGTTTGCGTCATCAAATACTGTAATCAATACAATCGGCGAAACGTTGTTAAAGTCGGTCGGTCGTATATTTCGAGAGGGACGATTCAAATTTATTGCGTTCAGAGAGTTGAACAGTCGTCTAAGAAAATATGGTGCCCAAGAGTCTAAAGTTTGAAACACTACTTGCGTCTATGTGAACACTACAATAATACGAAAACTGCTCTCAGTTTAGTAAAAGCATTTTGCTAGCTATATATGATATTCGCAATGGTCACACACCATTAATCATAAAACTGTACGCCAAAGAAAAATACATCAAGTGTACCTAATGATTTACGATTGGCATTATGTGACACACAATTGTAGGAAGAATTCGATATTATGCGATAAATTTACAAAAAAAAATATATTTAGATACTAGCAATAATATCCATGGATGCTCGATGCAATTTCAGGAAAATTAACTAGAATACTTTTGTCGAAGGTTTCAACTTAATGCAATTTTTATTTAAAATGTTCTACGGCCTTATAACTTCGAAAAGAATTGCTTTTCTCGATGGTTACACTTTTATGTATAATGTCTGTAATAATACTATTATGTATCTATTTATAACTTTAAACTATCGAAAACGTCCTTAAAATGACCTCTTCCTTGGTATTTTTCACGTTCGTTCGATTTCGGCAAGAAACGACACTACTCGTCGAATTATTAGCAACGATCGAAATGTGCCTTATCTCTTCTTTATACGGTCCCGTTGAAAACTTGCTGCAGCATGATAAGATTGTTTACGCGAACGAAATGGCACCGGTAGTTCCTCGTCTTTATTAATATGAATATAGTATCTAATAAATGAAGTTTTGGTTTTTATCATCAGCTTACTATTACGATAGTTTCTGTGTTAGTGTAATTTGAATAAACTGGAATGAGATTTAGTGTCTGCGATATTTTGTGTTGGAACGAACTTATTTGCTTTCCTGATTCCTTCAATGAATATTTGATGTTGGGCTGGTGAGTTAATATCCCTTTTCTTTTTTTGTGTTAAACATGTGCAGATAAGTAGGTACATTTAATGGCACCATAAATAATAACTGCAGTGTTAAAAAGGATTAATACGTTAATACAATAATTCTTGACCCTTTACACTCTTTTTCTCTTGAGTCTCGTCATTAGTACGGGAAATGCGACTCCAGCGATTTTTTAGTCAGAATAGATATACTTACCTAAAAGTTTTGAATTTTTGAAAATTCCTTACTCAGTGGGTTGTTAAGTACCTACCATTGTAGGTATGAAGAATCTGTCCGTAGGTATACAGTTATATTCCTAAAACTTTTGCTTGATTAATGATTAGTTATTCATCTGGTGTTGTGTTGTATTTTTCAATGCATTGCATCTATCTATTTATTGCCAAATTGCTACATGGAAAGAACATAAATCATCCACTGTAGGAAATATCCGCTCATAGATTACTCGATGCTTTCTTTTCAAACAGAGTACTAAATCAAATCTAGAATTGGGGATTTTTCCACTTTTCACTTTCCGGAATCGTGTGTAGAATTAATTGAATGAATACAATACAATACAATACATACTAGATCCATAGATATTTAAAAATTTCAGGATGAAATATGGAATTTTCTTTTTAAAGAGTGAGAGGTATACTAATTCTTTTATTTTTAATCAAGTATTTAGGTAACAACAGGACTATTCAAGCAATTTTAGAGGTAAAAAATGTTTTATTTAAAATTAAATTGGCTGAATAGTCCTATTGAAAATATCAAGGAAAGAAATACGAAGGTATAAATAACAACTTTTTAAATTTAAAGATAATGCGATAAAATTCCTTTAAAATAATTCAAGCATTTCTCATGGAATACCTGTGGTAGGTATAGTGAAATTTCGCTATCGATCGGTTAATTTTTAAAGCTACCTTCTTTATTAAAGAAGTCTTTGCGTGACAAAAAGACGTAATGAAAACCGAATAGCAGTTCTCGTTATTATTGAGCCTAGTGCTCAATATATATTATGCATATAAGGTGGCAGCTTATAATTTAGTTTAGTGGTTATTAACGCAGATACTTATAAAGTGTTGAGCATGTACAAAGAAAACAGTGTAATTATTTCACATATACAATACAAAGTTTATTTTTATACATTAACTTTTGATAGATAGACACCATTCAAACAACATTATTACATGTAAAATACTCGCTTAAGGATGAATTTTATTCCTTACTACAGAATAGGCATATGTATCTATGTATATGTACGATAAATAGAATGTAAAACGATTTTCTCACCTGTTGACTTCTTCTGTTTTGCCGCTTTATTGTATACGAGGAAAGCAAGGATAAAAAACACCGATGAAAGCGTTTCTGCTCTCCCCACGACCCCCGTGACCTGTAACAGAATAGAGTTTATTATGTTATTCCTTTATGGCACAATATTATTAAGGGAAGCATGGCGCCAGCTTTTGTGATGCGGTCGTTTCTTTAAAAAACCTCCGCAAAACTACCTTAATACGTTAAAGACAAAGTGAAGGAAGTAAAATCTAATAAAGATGGATAAACTTACCGCTTCTGTGTGTATAGGATGCACAGTAAACAGCATCGCTGCCATGAAGCTCGACATTTCCGACAGGAATATAGAACACAATCTAGAACAAAGAAATACATGTTACGTTTCTAATTAAGCTAATGCACTGATAACAATGTTAAAACGAAAATTCTTTGATGTATGTATGTATACTATTAGGTTTGCTATACGAGTTACAGCAGTATTAGCATATAGCAAGGAGGAGTTAGATATAGCTTTAAATAAAATGAACGAGGTATTGACAAAACAGTATTGTATAGAAATAAATAAAAGTAAAACAAAAATGCTGGTTTGCAAGGGAAGAAAAAAGTAGGGAAAGAGCGAATATAAATATAGGAGACGAAAAATTAGAAGAAGTGACTGATTTTAGGTATCTAGGAAGTCAGATAAGTCAGGACGGAAGGAGTAGTAGGGATATAAAGAAGAGGATAGCGCAGCGTCGGGTCGTCTTCAATAAAAAGAAGTCACTTCCGTGTTTGCGAATGGTTAATTTAGAAATAAAAAGGTATTAGAAAGAGTAAGAGAACAGAGGACCCTATGGAAGTCAATAAGAAATACGCGAGATACCTTGGTAGGACACCTTCTCAGGCATGAAGGTCTAGTCAGACACATATTAGAGGCATAAACAGGAGTTAAGAGGGGTAGAGCTAGACCTAGATTAGATTACTGTTCGTAAATAGTTAAGAATGTGGGATGTTCTAGTTTTAGGGAAATGCGAAGATTAGCTCAGGATAGGAAAGAGTGGGGGTGCGTGTCCAACCTGTTTTAGGACTGACAACCTTATGATCTCTCTAAATGCTGTTTAATTTCAATTTTATCACGGATACATTGACGTTTTAGAATTTAAGAGACGTTTGGGCATTCAATGTAAAAAGATAACAAACCATTTCCATCTTAATATTGTAGGTATTATTTTTCATAAGATTAAGATAATTCCAAAAGGGATATATTTTTTTAATTCTGAAAACTTGTATGTATAGGTACCTAATGCTTTATATCTTCAGCAGCTTATTAAAGGAATGATTAGTAAATTAACTACAAATAAACAAACATTGTAGTTGTTTGTTACTAGTCGAACAGCCGAGCCCAATTGCCGAAATGTAACTGAATGGTGTGTAGATAGCAAATTAACTCCTAAAATCTAAAAAATGTATATGGTATAATCCAAAACCCATTAGAAATCGGGTAGCTATACAACGACCACCATATTTAAATTTAATTGGTAACGTTATTCAATGCAAAAAGGTCCTCAAAAACTGAGCCCGATATTTTTTCCACGTCCCTGAAGTACTTAGGTATCTACGTTTGCTGAAATATGATATTTGAATTGAGGGAGTAGGTGTATCTGACGTGACTCTTCTGGGGTATTCCTTTCATTCGCCCTTCTTGTTAACAGTATAAGGTAAAATAACTCTCAAAGGACCCATCCGCTACTTCCAGCACTTGTGAAAGCAACAACTGCCTTTAGAAAACGTAAGAATTAGGCACGCCAAGAAAAAGCACACCACTGTTAGCAGGAGTGGTTTTTCGCATACGTATTCAAACTCGCATAACTTTCAACTTATATGTATGCAGGGACTGCGTCGTCTGTCTTTGAATAAAGTGCGACTGCTGGAATTCTATTGTCTTAACCACCAATTACTGAGATTAAAATGTTAAACTGCAACGTTCGCTTTACGTATGACTTGTAATGGAGGCACTATTACTAGCACTTGCAGCAATTTATTTCGTTCAAATAATGCCGGCCGCGTTCTCGTTAAATTTATACTACAAAAACGCGGAAAAATAATTACGAGCAGCAATTAAGTACAAATAGAAACTTTTACGCTTAATAATAAGTGCCTACATAGAAAAAAGAAAATAATTTACGTTTACATATTAATGTCTTATTAATGACATGTCAAGAAAACAATTAATTAAGATTAATGGTTATTAACTGAATTAGATACGTAAAGAATCGTAGTGGTTAAATTTATACTTGTAAGTGAGTAAAAGGATTATAATCTTAAGGAATACGCCAGAGTATCTTGATACTTTTGTCGAATTTCGAACAGGTATATATTGAATGGCCTACCATTGTCATATTTCTATACATAACAAAAAAGGATCATCAGATTCTGAATCACCTCTACTCCTATCGAGATCCAACATAGCGCATCAGTGATATGTCTGAAAGTCGTGGATTAAACACACAACAAAACAACCCAATTTTATAAACAATTATTGTTGACAGTTGGTTGTCTTTTTTTGTTTCTGCAAAAACTATAATATTACGATATTTTCTTAGACAATTTTTGGGACATCGCGTCTGTGTAAGTAATTAGAGAAACAACCCCTTCAGAAGAAAAGAAGGTCTCGATTTTGTTAAACTAACCGTGAATTTTCTCTTAAAAATTTTCATCTGTGATATTGTTGCAGGACTTGAATTTTACATCCATTATAATCGAGTTAGCATACCCGGTTCGTTAACTTTTTTTATCTAATTTAGGTTTATGATTTTAATCTTGCACCAGAAGTGTATAAATTTAATTATTCCTTAAACAAAAATTTCCCTATTGTATAATTACTTAACTGCATAAAATTTACATTGCGCTAGAACACATAGCGGAAAAACCTTTCCGCAGAATAAAATACACAAAATTAATTTCAATTTAAAACTGCAAATATGTTAATAATAGTAAATACTTTTTATAATGGATGAAATTCAATGACCTATCGTCACTATTCTATGAATTTCGAAATTTAGAAATCGAATAATATCATTCATTATATATGATGCTAATAGAAGTTACTCTACCGCTTTAGCTGCTTTGCAGAGTTTATTTATTTCATGCAACATCTTCTACTTTTACCATAATATTCAGATATGTTAGGTACAATAAAAAGAATAAATGTCAAATCATCGGCGATTTAAGTACAACCAGTTTTGATACAATTGTCATAATTGTCGAGATGAATAGGTTTCGTTCTTATAAGTGAAAAATATAATTAATGAATTACACTCCTACGGTTCTAAATTGAGCCCACTTGAATGAACCGCAGATGCTACTCTCATTTCCCGAACAAAACAAAAGTCCTTTAGTAATTGAACTCGCGTCTTCTAATTGATGAAACTTGAACTTCTTGTAATCAGTCGACGTCGCTCAAGGGATAAATTATCTATTTAGGATTTAGGCGTCGCAACGAACTAAAGTCTTATTTGAAATCACGACAGTTGGACGATTGCTTCGAAGTTGTAATAATGCCGAGTTTTGCGCACCTACTTCTACAAATGAAAAGATTTCTATCAGTAGAAGCTTGAATAGGCGCTATGCCACCATCAGAAGGTACTTTTCAATAGAGGGCAGAGATTGATTTCGTTGTAAAAAGAGGAGAGGGTGTTTGAATTCGCTCCAGGTTTACATTCACCGACTTATTAAAGGGAAGGAAAAGGGAAGCCGTCATTATCTACTGAGAAAATGATACAGGATTGTATTTTGCAGTCGATCTTTTTAATAACTACCTAATGAACGTTTCAGTTAATAATTTTCACCATTAGTTAAATTAATAATTTGTTAAATAATACTACCTATCAAATTTAGATAGCCGAATCATTGTGATTTGATGATGAGTAAACGTAGATTACTATGCTTACCTAAAATACAGAAGACATACAACGGCATGGAAAACAACATTAACCAAGTGGTAGCCTAAGGGTTCTAACTGTTGGAAGTAGTAATTCCATCTAAACGTTAGCACCGTGAGAGGCCTGTATGACTTGTGACTCTGCTCCTGAAATAAAAAAGATAACAGTGCAACAAAAATTATATAATTAGGTATCAATTTTATGGTTATCACAACATAAAATCCTTTTTTGTGTGTTAATTTTTAATATGTATGTACGTACGTTCAACAACATGTGTTCACCAACATACACTCAGCTACAAATAAACACACAAAGTTTATTAATCTGTAGCAGGCACTTTTTGACATTCTTCAGCGCGCATTCAATAGCGTTAATGCGTATGCTGTCAAAAAGGCCGACTATAGAAGGTAATATGTTTGAATGAAACAATAGGTTAATAGGACACCTTCTCAGCCTTAAATTCTAGTCAGGGACATATTAGAGGCAGAAACGGGAGTTGAGAGGAGTAGAGGTAGACTTAGATTACTGTTCGCAAATTAGCTCAGGATAGGAAACAGTGGAGATGTGTGTCCAATCAGTCTTAGGACTGACGACCTTATAATGATGATGGCCCAAACAGCGATGAATTTCACCTGTTTTTGTTTCTTTTTCAGTAGGTGCCTACTTTGCATTATATATAACATTACTGCCTCTTGATTATTAACCGTCATAATAAAAAAATTGATTCCCAAAATAAAAAGAAAAGAAAAACAGAAAAATGACTTACACTAATTAAATCAGCTGGCAGAACATGAAAAATAAAATATATTAAGTTCTTATTGCTTCAACTTTTATCGCCAGCCCGAGCTGTTAAGCACAGAAACAGGATATAAAACTCCAGTAAAGAGACGTTGTTTTCTAAATAAATGACACACATCAAGCGCAAACAACGGCTTCGCATTTTAAATTTTATGGTAGAGATAGCGTCATAACGTGGTTATAGAAAAAAATTAGAGCCCTAAATTCAGGAAAATACAAAAATCTTTTTGCGCAAAACTAAAATACGTTGTTGAATTCCATTCGTGGTGCAGTCCGGAACACAACTCATTTTTATATTTAATTGATTATATGAACTGGTAGTCAGAAAATGTTTTGAAACAAATTTTATAGAAAAATCATCATTGTAAAATGTTTCAACATTTTATTCCATTCTATTTAACGTTATTATCCAAATCGTCGACATTTATTTCTAGATTGTCGCTGAATAAAAGCAGACACTTTCATATTTTCCCCCCTTCTGTTGTATATTTGATAGACATTGAAAAAATGTACAAAAAAACTATTGATTACCAGTTGAGATATCAGCTGAATACTTAATATTAGATATTGCTTTAATAGTAAGCGATGTCAACAAAGTCTATTGTAGCTTTAAAGTTGTGCTCCAATTCGATCATCGTCGAAATGTGTAGGTTGTAGTAAATGAGGAAAAAATTAAAACTACCTTTTAAATAACTGTTTCAATAACAGTAGCTGGCGCGTTTTTAGACGGGTTTTATGACTTTGTAAATCTGATTTTCGTTCACATTTGGAACGCAATAAAAAGCAGGGCTAATACCGATACACCGAACGCATTTTGTCATTAGTTACAGTACATTAAATACACGGAAAAATAAATTGTCTGTAAGACAACCAGAGGCTGCAAACCGAAGTGACACGATAAAACTAATTGTCCAAAATTTACTTCTACTACTGTTATTTAGATCCACCTTTTATCTCTATATATTGATATTAATATTTAGGTCAGTGATATATTTTGGAAGGTGGAAAATATTAGGAATTTCACATTACCTAACTGTGTTCCATTTTTGAAATAAACAAGTTTATATTCATGAAGGTTTTTGAGATTTCTTATTAGCTTTCATCAATACAAATCATCGAACAACCCCAAAGTTCCCCTACTGTAAGTAGTTAGTTAATATGGAGTAACTGGCAGTATATCGCCATCTATGATGTATACCGGTGACTTCGTATATACAATACTTATTGCAGTTACTGGTAGTAAGTAAATGTATTTATAGATGGCGATGTACTGACAATAATTTGATATTGTATAATAGGGTTGTTTTACAAGTCATATGGGCACATTTATTTTTCAACTTTCAATAAATTTTAGAATATTGGGACGTTACACAACAGTAAAAGATAACAGAAAAGGATAAAGTCTTTCCAATCTATAACTTCTCTTATTGATTTTGTAAGGAAACACATCAACACAGCGAAAAAGTTGAATGTAGCACACTTCTCCTATTATCGTGCTTGTTGTAAAACGAACCTGTCGCTAAAGGTATCTCATCTTACAGCCACTTTCCACTTACTTCCATTATGACTTCTAGTCGCTAGACTGCACAGTGTTATATTTCGTTGCTTTTTTGAAATGCAACACTAATTCTTTATAAGTGCATCTGCAAGAGCAGGATTCGCGTTTAAATTAAATTTTCTTCGTGCTTCCATTTACGAATGGGAATCAAATATTATCCTAAATATAGAAAACGAAATGCCCTCGTAAACGAAAGACTCCCGTTCAATTTTTACGACTGCAAACGGGCGAATCTGAGCACATTAAACAGTCATTTTATACGAGATTCGTGCAGAATTACGAGAATTAGCCGACACGTAAGATATCTCAAAATTGTTTTCTATTGACCGACTTGGGATACCCTCACCTCTGCTACAAATGTAGAACGGGTAGAATTCACTAGATATTTTTCTAATACATATTTTATAAGTGTGGTACGTAGTTTGTGTAAAGAACAACAGGCAGTTATAGAGCTGAATCAGCTACGTAGAGAAGTAAATATTAGGAACGGAGTCACACAAGGATGCACACTGTGATCGGTACTTTTTAATCTATACATCGAAGACGCGATCAACATCATTAAAAACTGTACAACTGTAGGGATAGATACAGGGGCAAAAGATTCAGATTTGTCAGATATTAGCATCTACCAACGAGGACTTAGAGATAACTTTAAATAAAATGGAAGCAGTATTGAGAAAGCTCTACTGTACGAAAATAAATAAAAGTAAAACAAAAATACTGGTACGCAACGGAAGAAAAAGTAGGGAAAGAGCGAATATAAAAATAGGAGACGAAAGATTATAAGAAGTGGCTGATTTTAGGTATCTAGGAAGTCAGATAAGTCAGACGGAAGGAGCAGTAGAGATATAAAGCAGATGATAGTACAGCGTCGAGTTGCCTTCAATAAAAAGATGTCACTTCTATGCCCGCGAACAGTTAATTTAGAAATTCGGAAAAGATTGTTAAAGGACGACTCTATGGAGGTCAATACGCATGAAGGTCTAGTCGGAGACATATTAGAGGCAGAAACAGGAGTTAGGAGGAGTAGAGGTAGACCTAGATTAGATTTCTGTTCGCATATAGTTAAGGATGTGGGATGTTCTTGTTTTAAGAAATGCGACGATTAGCGCATGATAGGGAAGAGTGGAGATATGATAACATACTTTATAACTATCATTCAACATAAAATGTTGGTTATTACTTACGTTCGTCCGAATTGACTACACTAAATTAACCGATGCAACCTACATCCCGGCGCAGCATTAATCGTATATCTATTCACACATATACCTAATGCATGCACAAAAGCTCCCGTCAATTCATGAAAATCATAATGCATAAAATAAGCCGGGTGTTGATTGGACCGAAAATATGTACCTAATTTATATTATGCGGATTGCAAATATGAACCGATATTGTATATGTACGTGGCGTTATCAAACAATTCAAACATTTTCCTGCTTAAACCTTACGATTAATTTTAAATGTGCAATTCTGGTTAACAACATTCATTATCAAAACAGAAATTAATATTGTAGTACCTCAATACTTGTGATAAAAATTGTAGCTTCAATCAAATTTATGAGGTGTCTGCAGTTTTCATGAGCAATTAATATCATTGTAGTATTTCGCATAATTATAATTTATAAGAAAGAGATAAAAATTGAATAAAACATTGACTCCTATCGCGTCATAATTAATTTGCACGAACAAAAAGTCATTGCAATTAAATTGAACGTACTTTCGCCAAATCGACTGCAGAGAGAAAGGTCAGTTATAACTTTTCAATAAATGCGGACCCAGATTCGAGCGAATCATTTCGCTCACCAGTGGATCTTAAAAATAATTGTTTGGAAAGGGACCAATATTCCATAATCTGAATGCCTCCGAAATCAAAAGTTCTGGCGCCTTAGAATTCCCAGCGTAGCTAGGAAAGCTTTGAAAATCATAAACTGAAGCGGGAAGAATCAATTCAGATTAATGACGGAAACGTGAACGCCTTTATAGAAAGCAAACCGTGGAAAACTAATGTGAAATACTGTTTTTGTGCGAAATTGTGAAGGGGTAAGAGAGGTAAACATATAGACACAAGGTGCTGAAAAAAACTCATAATTTCATAAAAATGAAAGTATATCCAGTTGTAGCAGTATTATTAAACTCTGAACATAATCTCTGTATGATAAAATTAAAATCTCTTATTGTATTTCGTGGTCATTTCTATTATTTTATGATCTATGTATTAGTTTGTCATTTTGAAACTGACGACTCTAATGAAAATATTTGTTTACAGCTTTTCTCACATGACTGTTCATTAATTTTTAACCCTTCTAAAATATGCATTAACACCTGACAAATGTTTGGACAGTTAATAGTACTTAATAGATCATAATAATGACTTGAAATGTATTAAAATATTCTCTTATATTATTATTAATCGTTAATGTTTTTTGTACTGTACTTTTTTATCCTTCTAATATTTGTTTGATCTTAAATCAGACCAAATTTTTATGCAATCGATTGGAAGATCTGGAAGAAATAAGCTAGACGAATTTGTTACGGGCTGTTATAATTTTAATGTTTGTGATCTACTTATGAAGGTATTGATAGAAATTATACAAATGTATGCAATTGGAGAAACACAGCATACTATTAGGTAGTTAAACCAATTAAAATAACAAAAGAGGGAATTGCTTAAATAACAGACCGCTTCGAGGTTCACTTTCTAAACGTGGGCGGTTTTTCCACGTCTCATTAAATATGCTCTTTACTAGACGATTGGCTACATGTAATACTCGTTTTAGGTAAGACTTAAATATAACCTACGTAGGTTCAGAAATAAAAATTACAAAGAACATGCCTACTTATCGGTTTTCGAATACATTTCAATAAGTTTATAGAAGTCACTTTCTTATTACTTAATATCGTATTGTAGAAGAAAAGGAAAAAGAAAATTAGATGTGTATTATATACTTTGGCCATTTACTATATATTATACAGAATAGTTCATCATGACAAGAATTAATTAATGTTATTCCCAGAGCTTGATGTGCATAATTATGCTGGAAATGCCCGGCAATTCCTTATCACAGCCGCCTTGAAATATCTTCGGATTCCACTAATATCTTTAGACTAAATTAGTTATCTGAAACTTGGACGGAATCCAGTACAATTATTCTAAGAATTCAACAATATGCAGAGAATCCATGTTACACCATACGTGTGGAAAATACCAAGTAGAAAAGAACGATAACGAATCATTATGTAATACAGAATGTATTGCGAAAATGCTTGAGACGCTGCTGGGGTTTGAATGTGTGAATACGAAAACGACTCGTTCCATTATCGTGGCTTGATGCTGTTGAACCAATATTGGACAAATAACCGACCCCCAAGTTAGACTAAGACAGAACAATGCCTGAAAGAGCTCATTAACTCTCGCCTTCCTACAGCAATTTCGCACAGAGTCGGCTTAATGATGTTTCGATTGAATTGACTCAATCTAAATTACTTTATCCAATCTATACGTAGCTTTAGCTGTCAATCGCGTAGAAAACCATAGCCCAATCTGTTTAATCTTTCAACATTTGACTATTAATACAAGAAGGTTGTGCTAAGATATTCAGTTTTAAAGCATTTGCTAACGTATGTAATTGTTATAAATTGATACAATATTTAGAATGGTTTTTAAGAATGTTTCTAAGAGGAAAATTGAGAAATCTACATTCAGACATATAAATGCAATGCAGCACGCTCGCGCTTGTTCAAATCGGAACTAAAAGAAACTACATTGCATTAGGCATTACATACTTGGCTATCGATAACGTATATTTTCCATATAATTTATTTAATGTATGACTAGCATCCACTTTACAATACTGTTACAATTTGTAATATGAATGTACAATATATAGATACGTGTATGACATTAATAGAATTTCACTGTTCATTCCCAAAACGGCATTAGATAGAACTTTGGTCCTTCCAGTTTTAAGGATTCCTTCGTCAGTGGAAACTATAATGCTTGAGAAAAATAGCACTGCACAAGAAATCCTCTGGATATATGATATTTTCTCTAGTTTACTATTTGATTAATTAGTTACTTTCTATTTTATTATAAAATTTAATAGTGCTTATCATCATAGGGTCGTCAGTCTTAAGACTGGATGGACACGTACCTCCACTCTTTCCTATACTGAGCTAATCTTCGTATTTCCCTAAAATTAGATCATCCCACATCCTTAACTATTTGTTAACAGTAATCTAACATAGGGCTACCTCTACTTCTCTTAACTCCAGTTTGTGTTTCTAATACGTCTCTACATTACAGTGTATGTGTGTTTAGAAAATTAGATTGCAAAAAAGTGGTTCCTTTACTGCTTACACAACTGCTTTTCTTATTCTTTCAAAGAAATGTCTGTTTGACTCCCTGGAAAGTCATTTGTACAAATGAAGAAAGCAGTAAATTTTCTTCATTGTATGTCTGAAGTTTTCAGCTGATTCAATAGGCAAATAACAAATGCTTCTGTTCAGTACACCTAACAGTATCAAGAGAAGAAGGCCAAGTTTCATAATCTACTCATAATCGACGGAATTATTCAAATAGCACATTGAACTGTCTCTTTTCGGCAAATTAAATTGAGTGACGGTAACTCAAATGCATGACCTTCATTCAAGAAACTACGAAATTGCACTTTTCCTACATGCACTGTTTTGTGAAACCCACATAATTAAATGCTTTATTCTTTTTAACGTTTTTATTTCCGATTCAAACTTGAAATAAACAACGGTCTTAATAACCACAAGTTTATGAAACCACAAACGAATTCTGTGGTCGGCTGTTGTCCCCGAACCCGCTCGCAAACAAGATTTATGACACGATTTAAAGGGCTTTACATGTGGTAACCTTAAATCCTTTGATTTCATAAAGTTTCAAGCCAATAGGAAAATTTGAAATGTTAATAAAACACAAATATAAAAGCAGTGAAGTACAAAATATATTAAAATTTTACAGAACTCTCATTGGAAGGATGTTCGTTAAATTTCGAAATAAGAATGGCAAACAGTCTTCAACAGTGTTTCCTTTCTGTATTTTAAAGTGAACGTATTCGTTACATGGGAGAGTTTACTCCACGCTTAAATTAATAAAAAGATCAACTGCTCTTAATAGGCTCCTTCGAGGTTCAAATACTTCAGCAGTGAAATAGGTCAGATCGTTACACAACGCCAACAGAATGGAGAGAATATCAATTCGGAGACGTGGTTAACCAGTGCAGTTCTAGTATAATTAGTATTTTCAAGTGGAACTGAATGAGGAATGTGTGCATATTTCTACACCCAAGCATTTCGCTTCTAAAAGTTCTTGATCTGATTTAGTATCTTTCAAAACTACACGCTGGTATGTTCTGGTGCGATGCTCTTCTCAGAAATATTTCAGTTTAATTGCTCAGTTGTTGCTAACAAGATTGACACTGCCGGTGCATGAACTTGAGGGTATTATCCTACAAATAGCTGCACGTTTCTTCTATGCTTCATACAAATGTGCCTCTACTTAAACCGCCTTATAGTTTTAAAAGGTCCCTACTGGGGTAATGTGTCAGCATGTGTATCAGAGTACCTATGCATTTGGAATGTAATCAATTTGTCACTACTTTATCTAAGAAGACATTCCCGATACCACAACACCAATTACTTACTTTGTGCATAGGGGTTCCCCAGAAATCGTTGAAAAAAATATTAACTAGTGGCGTATGGGTCCTTAAATCCCGATTGTCTTTAATGGCACTTATGTCATCAAAGACAAAACCACAGTAACAACTGTTATGATAAACCATAACCGAAGTTAATACGATGATAGCACTCAGAGCAGTTTTCAACCCCATTTTAAAACACAGCTTTGATCACATCACCAGGAGAACGAATTGGTACTGAATGAGTAAAAAATAAAGGGATTACGTTGGAATTGAGTTCTTAATGTTTTTTTGCATTTTAGACCCAATCCAATGGGTTAATCTCTTTTAAGTATTTGTACGTCCCTGGAAAATTGCGGTAAAATCATTTGATAACCATGTTAATTAGATTTTTACACGAAATAAGGCTTGTTTAGCTTGAGTACCAATTAAATAATACACAGGCGTTAAAATTCGTTGAACTAAGCATTCGGGTAAGCAAGCTTTGACCTCCACGAACTGTGCTTACTCCCAACTACAACGCTCGATGCCCGTGAACTAAACTGGTTGGTCGCACAGTTACGTTTTCAGAAGCTATGCTGCCATACTGCGTCTGTGCGTCACATGACCTAGAATATGATCTGTTCGTTGCAAGATTATTAGGCGCAAGCGCTTCGTCTGTCCGGTTCCCTTTTAGTATCTGTCCCTGTGGAGCTTACACTCGCTCACACACACACACACGTTCACACAGACCATTGAAAGTTACAAATGTGAAAAGCAGACAACTAGAGTCAGGAAGCTCCACGTAGGTAGCTAAAGTAAGTTGTCATCCATTGAAGATGAGCACTTTCCTCCATATAAGAATATTTTGAAAGTGATCAGTCCAAAATGACGTACCTGTAGCAATGCGGTGCCTTCCTCTACTCTGACAAATTCTGCTTAACCTTTTTGAAAAATTACAAATGCAGGAACTTTTGAGAAAAGTTGCTTGGAGTTTCTACAAATTTGCCACAGTGATCGGAACACCCCAATGTAGATATACCAAACCCGGCGAAGCAATGGTAAAATTGCGGCATATCCTCCCATGGCGTGGCTGCGGTAAGCAGTGATTCCATGTCAAGGTTCCTCTTGAACGTTGCTTATTAGCAATTTTGATCCCCGTCAACGTGCCTACTTCTCTTCCCCTGCATGCCAAGTATAACCACTGATCTATGATTTCAACCTCAGACGGCTGGACAGATAGGGGCATTTCCCACCTGGGGCTTCCGGACTTCCAGAAGCACCAGCTTTCATCATTGATCCGATGTTCGAAGGACGAATCCCACCTCCCAGTTAGATTGCTTGCACTCCGGCACTTGTAAGTCATCCCAAACTCCATCCTTTTGATGTGTGGAACGAGCGAGAACACTTTCAGGAACCTCTACCACACATCTCTTACTAAGGTTCCGGTCTTTTCTAACATTAGTGGGACCTGTTTTTTTTATGGGTGGACTTCGTGTGGGCTGCCCGCAGGGATCATCTCGGATACCTGGGTCGATACTAAATAACTGGTCCGCCACCTGAAGCGACTGCTTACGCTACACACCTGGCGATTTAGCTACTAATGCCAGGTAGCGCACCGACCCTGACACCTGCACGTCCACCACATCGAGTTCCAAAGTGGTCCATTTTCATTTTCGCTTTGGATGCATTTTTGACCATAACTCCATCATTGACATTATATCATGCTGTTTTTGCATCAGATTCAGATAGAGATATCCGATATACCACTATTTCCGTTGTAGAGTGCATCCTAGAGATAATTCATGCAAAACATATCTTTAGGTATATTTGGAGTTTAACAAAAGCCAATTCAAAATTGAGTGCTTCATATGGATCTGTTTCTTAAACTGCCTTCTTAGAAGTGATCTATTATTACTTAATTTCATGTTCATTTCAGGAAACAGTAGAAGGCAGTTATTCCCATCGGTCCTAAGTTATTGTATTTTTATTAAAAGAGAAATATTTCGTCAAAAACTGAACATGAAAGACTGTAAGTAGACAAATGACTGACGGTCTATTCTAAGGTTAACAGGTTATAACGTTCGTAGAAAAAAGACAAGAAATAAATTGGAATGCTTTTAAAATTAAGGGTTTGTAGTTCTGTCAGTTTTGAGGTATTTCACTTAAATGTGCCCTTGTCAGATAGAAAAGACTGTCAGGACATCATCCAATTGAATGCAATCAAAATGTTAGGGTCATCTTTAATAATGTTTTGCTAAAGGCAGAAACGTGTTATATTCATACAAGAAAATACCGGCCTCTATTCAAACATGTAAACCTCTCGTTAACTATCTGTCCCTCAGTAAATAATGTACTTTGCTTATATTCTTCTCGGTCTGTAGTGCTTAGTGAACCTATAAATTTAGTTAAGTTCCACTTAACCGATTCCTGTTTTATCTTTTGAGCATGAAAGTAATCCTTTGCTTACTCTGATGAAAGACTGATTTGTCGGTGTCTTCAGATGTTTTATGAAAGTTAATCATGTGCCTTCACTGGGCGGATAATCCCACTGTCATTTATCAGTGAAAATGGAGCGGAATATCAGGTTGACATTATTTCTACAATTAGAGAAGAATTACATTAGACAGCAGTTGGACGTACGTAGGGGAGTTATCCCCGACTTATTTTGCGTAACGTGATGATTCCTACAGCACGGGTGCGGGATTGATATATGCCCAGTTTCTCCTAGGAGGTAAGAAACGTCCCCTACTACCCTTTGGTGAAGCCGAGTTAAGCAAGTCTGATACCAGAGTGGATGCACGCCGCTGACCCGTCAAGGTGCCTACTTCTTTTACCCAGAATGCGGGGTTTAACCACTGATCTACGATTCCAACCTCAGACAGTCGAACAGATAGATAGACAGATGCCCCACCTGGGGCTTTCGGACCTCTCGTAGTACCAATCTTAATCATTGATCGAATGTTAGAGAGATGAATCCTGTTCCTAATCAGATTACTTGCACTCCGGCACTTGTAAGCCATCCCAAGTTCCATCCTTATGATGAGTGGAACGGGCGAGAACACTTTCGTGAACATCTACCACACATCTCTTACTAAGCTTCCGGTCTTTCCAAAATTTAGTGGGATCTGTTGTCAGTGATCTTAGTTTTACGGGTGGACTTCGTGTGGTCTGCTGCAGGGATCATTTCCGATACCTGGGTCGATACTAAATAACTGGTCCGACACCTGAAGCGACTGCTTACGCTACACACCTGGCGATTTGGTTACTAATGCGCACCAACCCTGACGCCTGCACGACCACCCGGAGGATGTATGATGTAGTAAAAATGCATCTATATGTGAGCTATGTTGGACTACTGTAGTTCCTATTCTCCAACCTGTGACACATTTGGTAATAATGCATCGTAGTTCGTTGATCAATCATGCAAGAGTACGTTATCTAAAAATACGTATATGGGTAAATAAATTATTCATGACAATTTTTTGTTTTTGGTTCAAGTAGCTAAAAAGGTATACCCTATTTTACGTGCTTTCATTAAACCAATTCACCCATGAGTAGGTACGCAGTATACCGATGCATATTTATGATCAATAAAGTTGGAAATCAAAGGAATAATAATGAACAACAAATCCGATTGGCCACTATTTCATAATATTCAATTTTCGTTTATAAAATTACATCCGCGTACATACAACCAACCGTCTATGACACCGATGTTTAACCCATACTTTCCGCTTCCATTACTCCAAAGCTTTCAACTGCAGGTACAAAACGAGAGCTGCAACAGTTATTAAAGCCTCATAATATAATACAGCTACCCACCTGCCGATCGCCACTGGTAGTAAGCATATTGTATCGACGCCAGAAAATAACGCTCGACGAAGCGCGAAAAAGTCGTTAGAATAAAACGACGGTATGAAAGAGTCTTTATCGCAAGTTTTCGTCATCGTTATTAATTTCAAATTCAGTTGTAGTTAAATAAATTCAATCGTTTTAAATTGTCACATTTACATACTTATATTTAACGTGATAGGTCATCATCATCATCGTAAGGTCGTCAGTCCTAAGACTGGTTGGACACGCACCTCCACTCCTTCCTATCCTGAGCTAATCTTCGCATTACCCCAAAACTAGAACATCCCACATCTTTAACTATTTGCGAACAGTAATCTAATCTAGGTCTACCTCTACCCCTCCTAACTCCTGTTTCTGCCTCTAATATGTCTCTGACTAGACCTTCATGTCTGAGAAGGTGTCCTACGAACTTATCTCGCCTATTTCTTATTGACCTCCATATAGTCCTCTGTTCTCTTACTCTTTCTAATGCCTCTTCATTTCTAACCTTCTCTATCTACGTTATCCTCATCATTACGAACGTTTCTAACCTTTTCTTTTCCACCGCGCCCACTGTCCATGTTTCGTACCCGTACATCGCCGCGCTCCAAACATACACCTTTAACAACCTTTTTCGAAATTTCCAAATTAACCGTTCGCGAGCATAGAAGTGATTTCTTTTTATTAAAGGCGACACGACCCTGTGCTATCCTCTGCTTTATATCCCTACTACTCCTTCCGCCCTGACTTATTTGACTTCCTATATATCTAAAATCAGCCACTTCTTCTAATTTTTCATCTCCTATCTTTACATTCGCTCTTTCCCTACTTTTTCTTCCCTTGCATAACAGTACGTGATAGACGCGAATATTTTCTGATTTGCTTTTCGTTAATTAACAGTTAGTTACGACAATCTGAAGTAAACCAAATTGCATTTTTAGTTTCTTATTGTATTGCAAATCCCTAGATAAAAACTGACTCCAGGAAAACGCACAAAGTTATACTGAAAACAAAGATTAATTTAATATAAATGTAAAAAAACTCAACAAGTGTAAGTACCCAATAGGATTAATCGTAATAGAACTCCTGCTAGTATTAAACGTCTTATTAAACCTCAATATCAGTTCCCAGAGGCATCGTTGTCGAGGACCACTTTGCAGTAAAAATCTTTATCGACAGACTTAAAGACATTTATCCTAAAAATTGCCTGTGACTACGTAAAGTCACGAAGGTAGTCTTGGCACGTGTTCCACAATTTGTCGCAGCCAACAAATTTGCCAAATGAATCTGTACGATAGGTAGATGCTACTGCAGCAATGGTAATTCAATACAAAAAGGTGGATCAGATATCTAACATTATTTGTACCACACGAAGGAGTTTTTAGGAAGAATATATTTTAACAAATATTACTCAATTGAATATGCCATTTCCCAATTAAACTATTCTTTAAGACTGGGGAGTGACCAGGATGTCGTTCAACTTTCGATGTCTATGAATTCTAAAAAATAAAATCGGCTTATTTTGTATACATTTTATTAAAACAAAATTTGTAAATAACTCTTGGATAATTCAACTATCTATATTAATATATTTGTACTTACAATGTAAATTTAATTTCCAAGCATATTGACTAAAAATAAGTATACACTACAAAAGTATACGCATGTAACTGGTAAAAATTAAAAAAGTAAAACTTAAATTAATCTGAATAACAGCATTCAATTTAAAATATAAAACATCTATAGGTAACTTCTAGAAAGACGAATAAGTTATATCAAGAATGTATTACTATGTAAAATTATTAACAGAAAAGTAAAAACATTCAATAAAACATTATTAGTAATAATTATATATGTAACTACAAATTAAAAAAGGAATGATTATGATTTATTTGTCAGTATACATTTATATGATTAGATGAAAAAAAATACATTCTTTTAATGAGAAAATTTTGATGTACGCCTTTGACAATGAAACATCTTATATTCCTTAACGTCTATATGCCTCTGCTTCATCCTCTTCCTTCTTTAGCGCCTGGATAAGGACCAAACCTAGGACGGCATTGATTACCTGAAAAAAAGTAATTAAGATTCAAATATCATACAAGGAATTACTGCTTCTATACTCTATGCTTCGGGAATTACTGTTAAAGAAATTGGTTTTGCACAAAAAATAATAGTATACACACGAAAATTTGATTTGACTAAACTGTTAAGTATTATCAATGAAACGAAACGGATACTAAATTTAAAAAATCAGATGAAAAATAAAAAGCTTGACCATTTTTTAATCCCAGTATAAATCACTCTGTCTTTTAAAAGTTAGTACAATAAGTCTACACAGCATTCAATGGATAGATTCCTTCATATTTACACTTCAGTACCTAAATTGCTTGTTATATTTTCTTATAGGTATCAAATTATCATATGAAGAGGCAGAAATACAAAAAGGTCATTTTACTAAGGTTAACAGTCTCAACTTGTAATGGGATAATAAGAAATCCACTTATGCAAAGCGGATTTTCTCGGACGTGTTGTGGATATTTTTACATATTATTAGAAGTTTATTACGCATATCTGTTTAGGGTAAAAATTTAGAAACCAACCACTAAAGTTAAGGCATAGTTCAGACAAGGCGAAATTCGTACGTTTGCAATCATGAGCTTTGAAATACAAACAGGAAGTTGTAAAAGCAATATGCTCTAATTTACTTTAATACAAAGAATGTTCACGCGATTTGTGATCAAGCGGATTTAGTTTCGCGCGAATTCCGTTTTGTCTGGACTAGCCCTAAAATTTTTCTTTGTTTTTTGGTGTTTTCTCAGTAAAATTAACTTTCTATGCCAAGGTATTTTATATATTATGTAATTAAGCGAGTAGACAGTTTCCTTCCGATAGTTTGATATCCGACATTGCCCAACTCTATAAATACTGCAGGGCACCAACGTTTAGGTATTTAAAATTTAACCAATTCGGTGAAAAATTTCCACTATATTAATTAAGTTACATTCGACCTTAATGTACATACTGAATTTCTCATTAAAATGTACGGAAAAGATAAATATACTTAGGTAAGAACAAAAACAGTAGGTAGTAATTACTTACCAAAGGCAATTTTGAACTTTTGAAATTAAATAAAATGAAATTAGTTTTTATAAAGTGGGTTTTGCAAAAAATAATGTATTCGGTTTTATTCCTACCCTGTAGGTAGTAGCATACTTTAATTGCCTACGATCTCTGTTGCTAGCCGGTGTTTATTTTGCGCTTCAGCACGGCCCTAACAGCCTTTTTGTTTTAAAAACACTTGATTGTGAATGGCTCCAGTTGTTTATAACCCGAGGGATTTCGGGTTACTGTAGTAACCCTTTGTGTCATATTCATTCTTGCGGACGATCTACTTTGAAACGTTGACATTTACTCGCCACTTTTAATGTCACTGAATTTTAATGTTCTGATGTTTACTGCATTGACGAACGATCTTTTTCTCAGTAATTAATACCTTTGTAACAATAGCAATATACAATTTCACTAATAATTAGCAAATACTTTTCTGTTTAGTCTTGGAAAAGTGATCAAACAATATCGAATATTGTTCATTATTATTCCTTTGATTAAGTCTGCATTACAATATTGAGTACCTAATGATTGATAGAGTTCAAAAGAAGCACCTAAAATATCTACCTACATCCTTTTAGCCCTTTTGAAACAAACGCAAAATAATTACGATTACTTATACTAGTAAGCCAACAGAGAGCGGTGCGCCACAGGGTAGAATACGGGGCCCACTTCAATCTAACACCTAACCTACATCTATAAAGCATATAAAACATCAAATATGGAACCTGTATAATTTTGTGAAACAATCTGAACTTGTTGCTTTATTGATTAACAATATTATTCATCATATATCACAGTAATGCGATGTACAATCTATCAACTTTATCAAAAATATGTTCAGCAAAGCAATATAATATACAAGGCATAAATCATAGTAAACAGTAGGGAAATAAGAGTGAAGTAACTTGGACATTACTATTACAATTGACATCTGATGATAGGTTGTTTATACCATAAAGTGTCAGTACAATCTTTAACGTTATTTGCCACTCCTCCTGCGTGATTTAAACAAGTTCTTACGGCATGGCGGTTGAAACGCTCACGCGATGAAATCACGCAATATAATTACAGCTGCAAATCACTTCAAAGTATCTGATAAGAGGGCACGTTAAATAAAGGAAATCGAAAATTTTATGATTTGATGTTATACTTTCAATTCAGCATTCAAAAAATGACAGTGGTTGTGACGCTAGTAGTAACTAATTGATTGGATCTTACAGTTCAATTAATATTGGTATGCATCTTTTTTAACAGCAACGCTTTTTTGTAATTTCCTACCTGAAGAACGTGTTCGTTATCTACACGTAATCTGGTAGTAATTTACACAGAATTTTTAACAGTAATGCTTTTTATGGTTGACGATGCTATCAAATTTTAAAATTTAACCTTTTGTTTTCACCACATTGTGACCTTGAGGTATCACAAAGTAACGTTTTCCATCGAAATAGGAAAATTTGGTAGTTGTTACATAAATACTTAAGAAAAATACATTTCCTTCTTAAGAATTAGGTATTTTAAAAAGCTCAAACAAATACATTTTAAAACGTTATTGTACAGACCCTTCAACGTCAGTGATTTTTCGTCAGATGATGAACCAACTTTATAAATAGTGTAGCGAGCACGAGCGTGTTTGTGTGCGATCGGGCACACGTGTGCGTGAACGGCTTATCGATTGTGAAATGTGTGTGTCGTACCTGCGTTCTGAGAAAGCAGTTAAACAGTTCAAAGAAAAAAATAAACTATCCCGGTGTTTCCAGAAGGTTCCCGAAAGTAAACAAAAGAGTATTTAAAGCAAGAAACGATCGCTGAGAGGAGAAGAAATAAATTGACCGTTGCAGAAGTGAATCCAGAAATAAATTGTCAGTGATAGCAGTGAAATAAATAGCGCAGTGAATAGTGATACATCAACAGTAGTGTAAATAAATAGAATAATTCATAACCTNCTGATGGGAATGAAACACCCAAAAGTTTTTTTTTTTGTTAAGCAGACTGCTAATACCCATATCTCGCTATGCCTACGTCATTAGGCTAAGACGTCAGAGCACCAGTCTTCTCGCTGTTGTTGGTTGTATACCTCACTAACAGTGTTTGGATAACCTGATAACCCTTACTTCGTCTACCTCTCATTTATTAGGAAAGAACAAATAGAGTTAACAGATTTTGTTAGCTTCTCTTGTTCTAACACGATTACTATTAATTTCAGTATTCACTGGTGCGACATCATGGTTTCACAAAAAAGTAATCACTTGAAAGAATTGAATTTACAAACTTACTGATACATTGCTTTCTTCTACTACTTGTGCTCACTTGATGTACTCTCGAAATCCACCTCACTTTTTTTTGCCGCAAGCAATGAGTTTTTTAAGAGCTTTCCTGTCTTTAGCAAGTGTGTTGTTCATTACATTAGAAAAAGGTAAGTACCTAAATGGAACTCATACATCTTTTAAGAGTTTGTCACCATTTTAGGCTTTAAGGTGATACGAAAGGACATTGTCATTTCCTGTCGTTATCTGGTTGTCGGAAAAGGTTGAAGGTGGAAATAAGATTAATGATGTGCTGCAACAAAGCCGTGATTTCCTTTATACTCGCAGGAGATGGCTATTCAGCGCTTCTAGCTTGAGATCATTAATGTGACGGAATAGGGAACCTGATCGTTTGTCTTTTTGCGGCTCCTAAGAAATCTTCATTAGCTAAGAAAAACGGCTACAAACAAATAAAAAAAACAATTAATTCCAAACAGTTCTCAATAAGTTGAAGTTATTTGCGGTTTTCATAATGATAATAAATAGTAATATGTAACTCCAATAAAGAAAGGAATAAATTTAGTCGTAGTAATGAAGGTTATCACTTCTAGATTTTAACAAGTTTTTTAAATATGTCTTTTATTACTATTTCAAATCAGATGCATTCCAGTAGGCGCAAATAACTTTCATATTGTTAAAACAAGATAATAAAAAAGTTCTTCTCAATGAAATTTTATTATAAAGAATTTATTATCAGGATTAGCAATTATTTCTATACTTTTGCATTGCTTAACTTTGTGAATTCACGCTTCTGATATGCTAGTCAGCAGCATCTTCTGCTGGTGGTAGTGAAGGAGTTTGTACTTACGCTTTTATCTTTTATCGCGTATACTTTCATTTATTTTTACGTTTTAGCTCCATACGGAGATAGTAAAAATATGTCTTCGTTGAAAAGTATTTCTTCTCATTGATATTAAACCATAAAATGTTTAGATGGTGCACGTAACTTTCATTATTAAAATTAATTATTTTACCGGTATGAATAATAAAAATTTAAAAGATCAAGAAACCCGACTGCTTGAAAAGTGAACTAATAGATGTAAACAAGATCTAAATATAAAAGTGAATTAAAGATCTGTAAAAGAATGAGTAAATCAAACATGATGAATAGTTGCAGTCGGAGGAATGCACATGGCAGGAGTCATAGCTTCGATTTATATTTATATCCAGATCTAGTTTCCTTCTTGTTAATTCGCTTTTTACTCAGTCATGTTTTTTGTTTGTTTCTTTAATGTAAACTTTTGATCCTATTTTATGAATATATTGTTAGTTTCCAACTATATATACTGTTTGGATGAGGCCTAGAGATCTCTAAATGGGTGTTCCCATCCAAAAAATATGTAGAGATCCTCTATACAGAACGTTTAGGTTGTATAATTATGACACGGAGATTATGACTATAATGTACTTAGCGTAGAATGTCGATTCTCTGATATGCTACTCAATTTTTTCGTCTTTATAGCCATTACTAGTATAGTTAGTATAATACTGTAGCGACCATGCTTATCGATTCGCCGACTAGCCGCGGGCGCCTTTCTTCATGTGCGCCGTATCTGTAAACATGTGTGTCGTACCTGCGTTCCGGGAAAGCAATTAAACAGTTCAAAGAAGACGAAACTTTTCCGGACGGCTCGAGAAAGTTCCCGAAAGG